GGGTTTCGTACATGTCCTTATTTACATAAAATACTATAAATTTACACATACAACATTGCAACTATTTCGTACAAATCTTTATTGCCCAAAAATAATACAAAGTTACACGTATAACACTGAAAGGGTTTCGTACATGTCCTTATTTACATAAAATACTATAAATTTACACATACAACATTGCAACTATTTCGTACAAGTCTTTATTGCCCAAAAATAATACAAAGTTACACGTATAACACTGAAAGGGTTTCGTACATGTCCTTATTTACATAAAATACTATAAATTTGCATATATAACATTGCAACTATTTCGTACAAGTCTTTATTGCCCAACAATAATACAAAGATATACTGATGAGAACAAACCACCATCATCCTTTGAGGACATTGATATCCCTCTGAAAGAATCAAAAGCACCTGGGGATAAACTTTGATAGACAACTCAACTTCATAAGCCACATTAACACCATCGTAACCAGAGCTAGTAAAGGCATCAATGCACTGAAAGTGGCAGCAGGAAATAGAGCTGATGAACGTCATCTGCTTATGCTTTGTCAAAGTCTTATATACTATACCCTGGATTATACTGTACTGTTGTACAAATTCTACACAGATTGATAAGATTAAGAATATACAAAACATCCGTTTAAGACTTGTCACGCCCATAAAAAGCTATGTTATACTTTCAAACCTTCATTAACACCAGCAAGGTTTACAAGGAAGCCTTGCAGTGTAACGACCATGTATTTCATCATTGAACCACTATATTCTTCAGTTGAGATATTCTAGCTCGATTACGACTAACCAAGTAGGTGACTGGCTAAAAGGTTCCTCAGGAGACAGTCATTGGTGGAAAAGTGTGCCATAGAGAGATAGCTGAAATAATTTAACATCGTCAGATCTCAAATTACTCCATGTGGTGAGTTAGGTTGGTACTTCACTGCCAAAGGATGCCGTCTCACACTGATTGGCTGTCTCAAGAAGGGGTGAGGAGGGGGGGGAGAACCATTAAAGATGATGACGTAATAGTTCAAAAATTTGCCTATACAGGGCGGCTCACGCTGATTGGCTGCTTCAGGAAGAGGGGGAGGGGAGAACCAGCAAAGATGAATGCATCACAGTTCCCAAGTTGTTAGGGAGGCTTTGTCAGGCCGCCATGACAGTTGACCATAATGGATAATTATGTAATAATACCAAAGAGTAGAGAAAGTGTTTCTAGGCAGCAATGAGATGTGGCCATAATTAATCATTAACATCATCTTAACATCACGCGCCATCTAGCTAATATCTAAATTGAAATATCGAAATACAGCTTGTAATAGTATCATAAACCGATGTACTAAGGGTTATAAAGTCACGTTGACAGTTTTATACCTGTTAGATATAAGGATATATATATTTATAAAGCCTATCATATTGCCAGAAATTATCATTGGTTTAATAAAAAATACAAAGGATAACAAATGTGTCGTTAAAAATGGTTTACAATTTTTATTAAAATGATTTTAAAATGAAGTGTTCACCTCATAAACAGAGTAATGATATATCAAGACAGTTATTTTATGTCAGTCTCCTTGTTACAGTTACGTGATAAGAAATAAAATACAAAATATCTTAAAATCGAATGATATGACAGCTAGATATATTAAAGAAACTATATAAATAACGAAAACATTAAATTCATTATCATATCTATAATAATAAAAGGGCATGTCTATGTGACCGCCATTGCTCCAAGAGAAAGAACCTGGAAACCTTAAATGTTGCACACACACTAAGTGGACCCAGAGGGTGTGCACCTGAGTATTATTACTTATCTACGTGTGTGCGCGAGCGCATTTTTTGTGAGGTAAACAAGCGAAAAACCACATAGAAATGAATATGTGACCACCATAGCACCAAGAGCAAATAACCTAGAAACCTAAAATTTTGGACCCATACTAAGTTGACTCCGAAGGTGTGCAAGTGGATATTATTACTTATCGTATCCATGTGCATGTGCATCTTTCAATGAGGCAATTAACGGAAACCCATATAGAAAAAAGTGGTTCCTTATATTCCAAACTAATGAAAGTACCCGGCTTTGCTTGGGTTATTAGGTTTATAGTGTGTATATCCTGAACCCATTTTAGTATAAAAGTATAACCTATAGACAGACAGACATGCACGTGGATAAGTAATAATACCCATAATAAGTGGACCCTGAGGGTGTGCACCTGGGTATTATTATTTATGTTATTCACATGCGTGCACATCTTCTTAATGAGACAAGGTAGCGAAAAAACGCATAGAAGAGAAATACATTTTGGTAACAGTGCATTCCACCAACGGATTTTATGTCATAATGTTTAGCAACAAAAGTATATAGGTTTACTTTTATGCTAAAATATGTTCAGAATACATAAACTATCATCCTAATAACTCGAGCGAAGCTGGATACTTTCGCCAATTTTAAATAAGGATGAATGGTTAGCAAGTCAAAAAGTGTGCAGGTGGCGTGATCATCTTTAAATTCAGTATGCAAACTAAGTAGTCACATAACAAATGGCTTTTTATGTGTGTGTGTGTATGTACGCTTACACTGATACTGTTTTCAAACTCTTGAGGATGATGTCTTTAAATGTCGAAACATGTACAGTGCATGTTTTAAGATAGGCGACGGTCTCAGGATAACTTTTAATTGCATACTAAATTACACTGATCATTTGAGTGTTCTAATTATACAAAATCTTGTATCCCTAGTACTATTCATATTGGACTAAAACATACAAAATCCTGTATCCCGAGTAGTATTCATAAAGGACTAGTATATATGAATTCTGTATCTCTTGTAGTAGTCGTAACGGACTAGTATATACGAATCCTGTATCTCTTGTAGTAGTTGTAACGAATTTATATATGTATGTACGTAAATGCTTAAATGTAGCTCAGTATTGTTACGTAAAACTGAAAATTCGAGAAAGCCCCCACACGCCTATAAATATAACCAACGCGACGCGCCAAAAAGAGATTATATATTATTAGTTTGCTATAGTCAGTGTGATATAATTTTGGAAGCTATAACTGTGATCGTTATAACGCTTATCAATCGAAAAACTTCAGATATTTGACCAGGAACCTTTATAAAGTTCAAACACTACAAATCATTTAACTTCAGTGGATTCTCATCGGGCATTAGTATTTTTTACGAAAACATTACATAAATTAATCGTGGAAAACTTGGCGTGTGTGGCTGGTAAATAACGAATGACAAAGCTAGCTAGCTCACTGTTAACTGAATTATACCTACGTCAACTCGTAATCAACTCGCTCATCGTGAACCCTCGATAAAATATTGAAGAAGTTTTAGACTAGAAAGAAGACTTTATATAGCTTGTAAATTTGTGAAACTTTTGTTTATAAATCATTGTTTGTAATAACTGTTATTGAAAATTGTATTGTTGTGTGTATATTAAAACCTATTTGTGTTAAAAAAACTGCGTGTATTAATCTTGTTGTCAAATATCATAAACTGACTATATATCGGCTTTTATTTAACTGCTAAATACAAAGTATCATTTAACTCACTTTCAGGCTATTTGAAATTATAATACGTAACATAGTCGTAACAGACTAGTATATGTGAATCACATATCCCTAGTAGTAATTATGTTGGTGTAGTATATATCAATCCTGTATCTCTAGTAGTAGTCATATCGGACTATTACATATGAATCCTGTATCTCTAGTAGTAGTCATATCGGACTATTACATATGAATCCTGTATCTTTAGTAGTCGTAACAGACTAGTATATATGAATCCTGTATCTCTAGTAGTAGGCATATCGGACTATTATATATGAATTCTGTATCCCTAGTAGTAGTCATATCGGACTATTATATATGAATCCTGTATCTCGAGTAGTAGTCGTAACAGACTACTATCCTGTATCTCTAGTAGTAGGCATATCGGACTATTATATATGAATTCTGTATCCCTAGTAGTAGTCGTATTGGTGTAGTATATATGAATTCTTTACCTGAAGTCGTATCGGACTAGTATATACGAATCCTGCATGTGTAGTAGTAGTGATATCGGATTAATATAGTAATCTCTTTATAGTTATATAAGGTTTGAAAGCTCGAATTGTGTAGCATATCAGCACTGTTTGTATCTGATTAAAGTAAGAGTCTTATACTGAAATGATAGTATTCCATTAAGCGCCTTTAAAAATGGGAAATATATATATAGTAAATCTTTATTTGATAGGCGTGATTGTTGGGCTATCTGGTGTTTCCATCGCGGGTAATCGAAGTGTAGATTTTAGCGTTGTAAGTCCGTAGACTTACCGCTTTCCTACCAGGAGACCTTTTATAGAATTCACTGATACGTAAACGTATTATAGTATTTGTTGAAAATACTTTTAGCTTTTGGTTAACATTTAAAACAGCTAATACTGAATCATACGAATGCAATGACGCATATTTATAACTACGGGTAGTTTAAATACTTTTAGAATATACGTAGTTCATTAAGATTTACGTTACTTATAAATTTTGTGGGTTGCGAACTTGTTCAAAAACATTTTTCTTATCGCAAAAGAACCCCTAGACCTTTAATTACGAGGTCTGTCGCCTGATGGTGCTGAGATAGTTTCTACTTCACTATCGACCTCTTGTTCATGCGTCATCGTGTTGCGCAGCTGCGGAATACTGAAGTAGTAAGGCCTATCGAAAGAAGTATACAAATACAAAACAAGAAACTGCAAAGACTAAGTAGCACAATGAAATAAAGAGTATTAAAGTGGCATTGGTGACGGTTTAGCTTCTTGGCTCTGAGCCAGCACATTAACATGTGAGGAAATAGATCGTGACGTCAGTGGAGATGCTCGTCTCCGTTGATGCTGATCAAATTTTCTGGTGAATAGTATCCATGTAGAGGCGCAGAGAAATCCTATGGAAGTATTCTATATTGGTTATGAATTTTCTTACTGAAGTGCACATCTATAGAAAGATATTTGGACGAAAACGAGTGAGTATAAAGAATTAAGTAGTAGTTCCTCGGTTGTAATATACATCCGACATGATGTAATCACGCTAAGCAGTTGTTCAGTGCGGACATAATCTTTACAGTCGCATGGCAACTTCAAACAAACACGTCACTACTCACCTTTATCTTCAGATGGACTGGCTCTCAAGACATAAATCAGCAAGTGGGCTGAACATTTCTCGACAACAAAGTTTTACAGAAAAATCACGAAATACAGAGAATACTCCGCTTCTTAATGTTAAGCCTAACCAGTCTCTAGACAGCCGGACTGCTAGAATACGCCTCAGGAAAATGGGAAGTGAACAGGACGACTCAGACAATTCTAGCAAAACTCCGAATTCGGAAGTAGCTCTTAAGGAGAAGTGCAAGCGTAAATTATGGCGTTCATCTAAAGTGAAGTACGACATGAAGTATGAAGATTTTCTAAAGCCATTGAATTACTGGAATATACGATCACCTTTAGAAGAAGATAAATCACTAGATCGAAGACGGCCCCAAGGTAAATGTATCAGAACAAAGGAAGGAACCAAGGAACTGAAACGGTCATCATCTGCCGCGTGTTCAAGCGAAACTTCCAAGCAGCAAGACTGTTTTATAGTTCCTTCACATTCTGTAGATCGTTTCATACCGTTTCGAGCGGTAAGATATGAATTTTTATGCACATTTTTTTTTGCTAAAGTATAGTATCGTATCAAATAGACGGAACTTCAGAAGTTAAATTCAGAACGATTGTACACTGGTATTTCTCCAGCTAAGTGTGACATTTGGGCTGGCAGTGTTTTTATTTAATTGACAAACGGCCAGATGTTTTTATACTACTGTTTCTACACAGTGTTTAGACCTTGACTATGTTTGTGCTATTACCACTAAGCTATTGTGTTAGTTACTTCTACATAAATATTATATACAAACAATAGAGGCACTAACTAAGCAGTACAACAAGCACACAGCGAAAACAACACTTGAATTGTAGAAGTAGAAAATACAGTAACATCCTGCTTAGAGAGGAAACTATAATATATAAAATGTAGAAGTAGAAAGTTGTAAAATGTTTTGTAAACAGAGAAAAACCTGTAGAAATAGATAATATGTAAAGGTTTATAAAATCTAATATTTTCTAAACAGAAAAAATCTTGAAACAGATAATATTGTTACGTATCTGCTTGTTTGTTAATTTCCGGTATAAAATCTTTCCGAGAAACTTCAGCGATACAAGTCCTTTCTTGATTAACCGAGTTTATTCTTCCTCGATACAAACTTTTAATACACAGTAATTTCACAGTGAGTACGTACCTCGTCACTCTACACTTAACAACTTTTATAACACATGCTATAATCACAGTGATTCAAACACTTTACTTACTGTGCCTACTGTTCGCTTGACTCAATTATCTCCCCCCCCTGGCTTTTTTTGCCGGGCTTTTATATACAAAAAAAAAAAAAAAAAA